TCTGCTTAGAATCATTTGAGGCAAATCATCATGTCGGGACCAAGACCACTGCACACCACAATGTTGTAAGCAATCCACTTCTCATCCACCAGTTATCAGTCGTTTGAAAAAGGATCATTTTCCTCACATTTAATGAGCATATTGCAAATGTTTATATGCTCCATCAAGTGAACTTCTTTAAGTTCATGAGGAACCCAAATATTGAACTAGCTTATGTATCCCATCTTCTTCAGGTAGTTGTGAACACTTGAGTGATGGATGTTCGATATTTTTGCAATCTCTTGTGTCTTGTAACATGGGTTTGACTTGATTCATGCCTTTATTTTTGTGGTCATCAACCTCAGTGGGCCTCCCTGACTGAAGAGCATCATTGAGATCAAAATCACCAGCATGGAATTTTGTGAACTGACGTTTGCACTGACATTCTTGTAGAGCGTTGTCACCTTAAACTGTAAGCAACCTTTCACAAGCTTGACGCATGTTCTTCCCTTTATGGAAGTAATACAGTAAAACATGGCAAAAGTGCAGTTTGGTCTTCCATCTTCAACTTGTTGTAAAGTCTCCAAAACTCAACCAAGTCACTTAATTTTTTTTTTTAGAATCAAGCTGGAACAGTCAGCTGTCAAATGACAGCAATAACATTGATGCAAATGACTCTAGTACTTCCAAAAATGAACGAGTGCCATCTGTTACAAGAATGCATTATGACTTTTCCAACATCTCAATAGATGTACATTTATGAATTATAAATAATACTGAACATCTCCTGAAAGAACAAAGAGAAATTTTATTTTTTTTCTTTAGATACAACAAAAATTATTCCATCACATAATTACCATAAGATTCCAGTGGGTCCTTTTATAAATTTAAAATACATTGTGAGATGTAGTGATTTTATTTTTTTTCCATATCCTTTTTTGTTTGTTTGTTTGTTTGTTTTTGGAGAGGTTTTTGCTATAGGGCGCGTGTGCTCACCAGACAGACAGAGAGAGACAGAGTGATAGAAAGCAAGAAATCACCCCCCAGAGGGGATGGCCACGCCGCAATCCCTTCTCCTCCATTCTCTTCTCGGGATCTTGGGTACACATGCACACACGCCCGGCGTGAGTTTAAGCCACCAGGTCCGGGACGCAAACCGCGGTCGACTACATGGGAGTCCAGCGACATAGCCATTATGCTAACTGCTGATCCCATCCATATCTTGACCCATTTTTTTATGTTATCATTTCTAATCAGTTATTTTCAACTATGTTAAAAAGGCTAAAATTATTTAGATTGAAGAACAGTGGAATAACCTAAAGGATAATATAGTGGCGAAATATATAATCACTAAAGTATTTTTTTTAGTAGTAAGAAGGGTAAGATTGCATGTACACATACATACATACACACAACAACGATGTCTTTATTAGCAAAAACAGAAATGAACATTTGTTGGTTATCTATTATCTGCCAGACATTGTTTTAGAAGATTTATTTACATAAATTATATTATTTAAATCTCACAATATACCTGTGAAGTAATAATTATTACCCCTGGTTTATCAATGAAGATACTTAGAATGAGAGTATATGTATTGTTTTATATACTCTATAACGTAGTAGCTTATACCAAGTAAATGCTCAATGTAGTTTAACAAACTATGTTAGTTTGTTCAGGTAAAATGTATACTTAAGATTCATGTATGATTTTGGATAAAATATTGGATTGTCAGAAAAGTCATGACATGTTTTTTTCTATGTTTTCAAAGGTCATTTATTTATATAAAGAACAAAGATCAATCAGTGATATATTGCTCATTTTGGTTGATAACCTTTTGCCATCTTTCAGTGAACTTCATAATTCCTCATTCATAGGAGGACTTGCCTTTATTGTGAAAAACTGAACAAGGTGCTGACTTATAGCCTCATCTGAATTGAACATTATACCACATGAGGAGTTTTGAAGAGATTGAAAAGAGTGGAAATCTGAGGCTCAAGGTCAGGCGAGTATGGTGGGTGTGGCAACACATCCTATCCAAGCTCCATTGATTTTTGATGGGTGATCAAACTTGTGTGTGGCCTCGTGTTGTCATGATGAACACAGCTCCTTTACGATCAATGAGCTCTGGATGTTTCTGGATGATGGATTCATTCTACCTGTCCAACTGCTGACAATACTCATTTGAATTAACTGTTTCGTTCCTTGGTAGAAGCTCAAAAACTACGACACCTTTAAAGTCCCACCACACCAAGAGCATAACCTTTTTTTGATGAATATCTGCTTAGAATCATTTGAGGCAAATCATCATGTCGGGACCAAGACCACTGCACACCACAATGTTGTAAGCAATCCACTTCTCATCCACCAGTTATCAGTCGTTTGAAAAAGGATCATTTTCCTCACATTTAATGAGCATATTGCAAATGTTTATATGCTCCATCAAGTGAACTTCTTTAAGTTCATGAGGAACCCAAATATTGAACTAGCTTATGTATCCCATCTTCTTCAGGTAGTTGTGAACACTTGAGTGATGGATGTTCGATATTTTTGCAATCTCTTGTGTCTTGTAACATGGGTTTGACTTGATTCATGCCTTTATTTTTGTGGTCATCAACCTCAGTGGGCCTCCCTGACTGAAGAGCATCATTGAGATCAAAATCACCAGCATGGAATTTTGTGAACTGACGTTTGCACTGACATTCTTGTAGAGCGTTGTCACCTTAAACTGTAAGCAACCTTTCACAAGCTTGACGCATGTTCTTCCCTTTATGGAAGTAATACAGTAAAACATGGCAAAAGTGCAGTTTGGTCTTCCATCTTCAACTTGTTGTAAAGTCTCCAAAACTCAACCAAGTCACTTAATTTTTTTTTTTAGAATCAAGCTGGAACAGTCAGCTGTCAAATGACAGCAATAACATTGATGCAAATGACTCTAGTACTTCCAAAAATGAACGAGTGCCATCTGTTACAAGAATGCATTATGACTTTTCCAACATCTCAATAGATGTACATTTATGAATTATAAATAATACTGAACATCTCCTGCAAATAAAATGTGGCTCCTGCTTTTGAGGAACATTCTAGTCTCACAGAGCTGAGATGTACCAGTAGTAACCATTATGCAAAGAAGATAATTTCATGGCCTAAGATGACTATGAGTTTGTGAAGACGGTGGGGATTCCTCCTAATTGGAGGACTCACCTGTAATAGTGGATAGCCATTCATCCATGGGGAGAAAGGGTGTTCCAGGGGCAGGGATCATCTTAAGGACATAGATGGATATAGGAAAGTAGACAGTTTACATGTGACCAGTCAGTTGTGGGTATGAAAATAACAACCTACCCCTCTACGTTTCTGTTTTATACTGATTATTTTTACTAGATACAGCTAGCCCTTCATATCTGTAGGTTCTGCATCTGTGTTTCACCCAACCGTGGATCAAAAATGTTATGTTGTTGCTGATGTGTAATGTGTAGCTAGGCCTACAGTGATTGCATCTGTATTGAACACGTGCGACTTTTTTTCCTTGCAATTATTTCATAAACAATATAGTACAACAGCTATTTACACAGAATTAACATTTTATTAGGTATTGTAAGTAGTATAGCAATGATTCATAGTATATGGGAAGATATACATAGGTTATCTGCAAATACTACAATATTTTATATCAGTTATTTGAGCATCTGTGCATGTTAGTGTCCACAAGGGTCTTGGAATCAATCTCCCACAGATACTGAGGGATGACTATATCATTATATATTTAGACATATATACTTTTGCACATATCTAAATAATATCCTGGAATAATTCTCTATGAACTATTTGGTTACTAATTATTCTGGCTTTAGGAGTGGTAGCATGAGAAAAAGTATTGATAGCTCTTATTCCTGTTTTTTGTATTTAATGAGGCACTGTTGGTAGCTCAGTGGTCCTAAATGGAGGCAGTAGACATTCTGAAAAAATTAGGGTTTTGTAATCACGGGGGTCTGGTCCAGCTGCATGACTTGATGCAGGGTATTTAATTTAGCTTAGCCTCACCATCTTTAGCTGTGAAGTGAGGATGGACTATATACTTCATAAGATATCATGGGATTAAATAAGATATTCTCTATATAAAGTCCATATCACATGTCCAGAAGCTAGTAGATGTTGTAAGACCATCTCTCTTTTCTCTAGAAGTTTGATCTTTGAGTCTGAGAAATAGACTTGGCAGTAGACAGTTTTACATGAGGAAATGCATACAAATTTATTAGCATGCAAGTGCATGAGAGTCCCACAAAATATGAATACTCAAAAGAAGGGCCAGATGTTTGAAGCTTAAATAACCTCTTAATAGAGGAAAGTGGAGAGTATTAGCATTTTTAGAGGAAGAGAAATTGATTTTGAATGGACCTGAAGAGCAGGCAGTATCCTCCAGCACTGTTCTTCTGGGCTCTGGGGGTAATGTCAACTTCAATCTTCGTTTCTGTAATGTGTCTATTTCCCCTGGGTGAGGAGATATTTGGGGAGGACATAGCAGTAATGCAGTGCTCAAGAGAAACCAAATCCCCCATGGTGACCACTTTCTAATCCCCAACCCAGTCAGCCATAAGAAATGCCAGGCCTGCACAGGGGTGCACAGGATCCAAGAGGCTGAGAGACTAGATGAAGGGGTTGCTGTATAACTAGATTCTGTGGAAAGTGCTTCCCCCTCTCTTTTCTTTATCTCTTTCAAATGCACATGCTCTATGATGTTAAAGGGGGGAAAAAGAAATTAAATACACTCTATGCTAACTTGACATACAACCTAGCAGTCAAGTTTGTCAGATCAATATATATATTTTGATATTGCTTTTGGATCACTTTGTTCTGTTTAACTCTGGAAAGATGAATTTATTTGTAATATTAATTAATGGGACCATGAAACATGAAATACTATCATTCCGTGAAAAACTAGAAAATTCTAATTGTTTGACCATTGTTTGAACAGAGCATAGACACTTTTTTGTAACAGTCATATCTTATTATCTTACAGATAAATCCAAAACAGATGCCAAAGTTGCTGTGGTAGCCAAGAAAAGGGTAAGGTTCTGTTTTATTATATAAATTATAATAATATAAAATTACTTTTGTAATTTTTCCAGAGGGCATGTGCACTCACTGGAGAGAGACAGAGAGAGAGAAAATGAGAAAGCACCTCCCCTGGGGGATGGTCTTGTTGCAGTCCCTTCTCCATATTTCCTACCTATTGGACTTTTGGCCATGCAGACACATTCGCCCAGCATGTTCTGCAAGCCACTGGATTTGGGGCTCTAGCCACAGGTTGGGATCATGTGGGATCTAGCCATGTCACTGGCTGACCCTTACTTTTTATTTTGTCAGAGAAAACAGGGATTGGAAGAGGCAAAGAGAGAAGGGGTAAAAGGGAAAGAAACAGAGACAGGGATTTTTGATAGGGTCTTCACCATGTTATGATCCTTCGGCCCCAGCCTCCCAATCAGCTAGAATCACGGGTACATGCTGTCATGATGGACATGTTCAACTTGGCCAGGGAAACAAATCTGGGCCTCCCACATGTCTCCTCACTTCCTAAGCAGTGGCACTGTGTGCCACCACGTCGGGCTTACAAAATTAAAGTATTTGAAAGCAAAGTAACATACCGCTTTTCATCTAAGTGTTAGTTAAGCATGTTTCCTGTCTGAAGTTGACACTAGAAAATATTTTTGGTTACGTATGTTAGTAATATAGAATTATCAGAAATTAGAACAATAGAAAATTATTATAAAAGTAAACAATAGTTGTTTTTGTTTAATATTTGTTTTATATAATACTCCCATATACTAACGTATTTTATTTTCTTATATACCATATTGGTGTATGTGTGTAACATCATTGAAAATGTAAATAATTAAAATTCACACCCTATTATGGACTTTACCTTACGCTTAAGTAGAGAAGAACATCGATTTGAATGAAATGTATGAACCTAGAATCTTTTTTTAATGAAAACTTAGGAAGCCAATAACATTTTAAAAGAATCTTTACATTTTAGCATTTTATCTGAATATTGTATGCAGAGAGATGTTCAACTCTATTTACAAACATTGGAAATCATGTTTAGTATAAGATCAACTTTGACATTTTTCTTAAGTGACAATATTCTTACAGGACAACACTGAAAAAGGGGGCCAATGCTTAAAACAGATTTTTCTGGACATACAGCATATTAGTGTCTGATGAAAATAAATTGCGATGGAAAGCTTATGGTGGGACTTCCTATATTGAGTGGTGGGGTTGGAGCAAGGCAAACCCCAGGGAAACTCAAGTGTAAGCTGGAGGAAGAGAAAGGTTGTTGGACTCGACTCTGTAAATAATTAGGCAGTAAGAGGAGCATCACTTTTGTATTCTGAATGTGTTTATTTAATGAGTCCTTATATTGAGTTGTCAGAAAAGTCATGACGCATTTTTGCATAGAAAAACATAGCTTGACTTTTCCGATGACCCAATAAAATCTGATTTCGTTTTATTCTTTTACTTTTTGGCTTCAAAAGAAATCTGAACTTTTATTGTCTAAATAATGTTGATGTTCCTTGTAGGGAGGAATTCAGTATCACAGGAGACAAGATGAAAAAATGAAATGAGACTTGTATGTAACCCTGGAGTTTTAGACAGGAATATGTGAGGTAGATTGCTAATGTGGATGCAATTACTTACTTCAGTCTCTGTAAAAATCTTTAGAATAACATCATAAACGTAATACTAATACGTTTTTTGTATTACTTTATTTTTACCAATTGATCTCAACAAGAGCCGTACTATCTCCAGTATTGTGCTATTCAAAGTGTGGTCAGTGGGCCAGAACTGGTCTATGAACTACTTAGTCTCCAATGAAATAAGTACAGAAAGTGAGAATAATAATTTAGAAACTGGTATGGTAACTTGACAAATTAATATTATGGGTTGAATTTAATAATAATAAAGCTTGTATTTGTGTTTTTGTTTTTTATTTTCTTTTTTCTTAGTAACCCACTTTTATTTTATAAAAAAATGTAGATTTCAGATAGAGTAGGGAAAAAATACACACACGTGAGTGTGCATGCACACATATATATATGTGTGTGTGTGTGTGTATATATATTTTTTCTGTATAACAAGGCAGGGAGTTAATTGAAAGAAAAGCAAGGAAAAACAGAGCTCCCAAGAAGGGAGGGGGCCCAGAAAATGGATTGCCTGAAAATTTTTTTTTTTTTTTTTGCAGAGATAGCTTGAGAGATTTTTTCTTATAAGACATTTTAGGATTTTGTAGAGGTGTTTTAGGTTACAGTAATTTTAGAAATACAAGGAATTTTATTGGGCAAAGTCTATAGACACTGGATATCCTGAAATGCATGGAACAGCACTATGTAACAACTGTTCAGCATTTGGATTGACTTTTGGATGTTCTATTGGACTCAATAAACTACATAATATAATTTTCTAGTGATTTAATACAAAGCAGTACTGAAACATAGTATGTTAAACTAAAGCATAAGGGATTTAGATGACTCCTTATGAAAAAGGAAGCTGACACAGATTAGACATATTATTCTTAAAATTATCAAATAATTTACATAAATTCTATTCCACACACAAATTTCCTATCGTGATAGGAAATTCTAGATGATTTTTAATAGTCCCAAAGCCACAGAAATAAATGTCATGCATTGATCTCATAATTTTTTGTTCTTTTTGTTTTTTTAGATTTTTGCCATATGAGAGAAACAGTGAGAGGGAATGTAAGAAATCACCCCCAGGGGGGCACACCTCAATCCCTTCTCCTCCATTCTCCTCTCAGGATTTTGGGCACACATGCACATGTGCCCAGAGTGAGTTTCATGCCACCAAATCCAGGACTCCAACTGCAGTTGGCCATGTGGGAGTCCAGCACCTTAACCAACACACCACCTGCTGGTCCCAATATCATAGTTTTTAAAAAAACACATGGTTAGAAATATTTCATAGTATTGGTAGGCTTTATATTTGCAACTATTTTAGCATAATGATAAGAAATCTGGGGCCAGACAGTGGCTCAGAAGTAACACAATTGGACCCATGTAGGAAGGTGCTGGGTTTTCATCCAGGGCCTCCTTGTATGTGCTGGAGACGTGTGTGTGTGCTGTGAACTGGGCTGGCTGAGGCTGGGAGGGGGTCAAGTGTGAGGGTCCTGTTTGGGGCGCCCTTTTTTTTTTTTTTTTTTTTTTTTTCTCTCTGAAGAAATAAACTTTAAAATAAATCTGTGGTATAAAAATTACATACTGAGATTATTTTCGAAAGCTGATTTTTTAAATTTTTTTAGTCTTACTGTTATTTTCCCCACAGGTCTTCCTTAAAATTCTTAATGCTCTTTTTTCCAATTTATTAATCAGGATTTTTCTCACCTAGTAAGAATCATGATCAAATTCTTTTTTTATCACTAGAGACAGTGTGTATCCTGATACGTTGTGGGATTTCGAGAAAGGAGATAGAGTTTCTATGATATTTTGTTAGTAGATAATCCCAGTCGTAGCATATAGAATTATTTTTCTCCTCGAGAGTCATTTTGCCCAGTTTGTTTGGGAGAATATCATACTTCTCATTTATATACTTGGAAAATCTGTAATTTTTTTTAGAATATTTTCTGTATTTTAATTAAGATTATCTTCTTTTATTTCTTATGGTATGCGGATGCTTGTTTGGCTATTACTGAACCGAGAATGGTTTCTGTTCTTGTTTCTACTATTACTTCTGCTGCTACATTTTCCTATAGATACTGTATGGAATGACTTTGGTCATCTTATTTCACTTGTGCCACTTACTCAGGATAGGGATGAATAGTATTTATCTTATCTTTAAATACAATATTCAAACATATATACATAAAGAAATACTTTTTTCTAGAGCTTTTGTTTGTTTGTTTTTTAGTAGGGCACATATACTCACAGGAGAGACATGGAGTGAGAGAAAGTGAGAATCATTCCCAGGGGAATGGCCACATCACAATCCCCTTGTCCTTCATTCTCCTTTTAGGATTTTGGGCATACATCTATACACACCTGGCATGAGTTTCCAGCCTCCCTGTCCAGGACTTAAACCATGGTCAGCCATATGGGAGTCTACTGCTTTTATTACCACTCCACCTTCTGGCCCACATATAGAAATACTTGTATGATAGGACCAGCAGATGGTGTAATGGCTATGTCACTTGACTCCCATGTTGTTCACTGCAGTTCGAGTTCCGTCCCAGTGGCTTAAACTCACGCTGGGTATGTGTGCATGCGTGCCCAAGATCTTGAGAGGAGAATGGAGGAGAAGGGATTGTGGCGTAGCCATCCCCCCCTGGGGGGAGATTTCTCGCTATTTGTCTCTGTCTTTCTCTGTCTTTCTGGCAAGCGCATGTGCCCTATAGCAGAAACCTCTCCCCAAAAAAGAAAAACTTTTATGATAAGTTTTCTTTTTCTAAATGTATTTTAAATGTATTTAAAAGTATATTTTTAAATGTATATTTTTATCGTAGCTACAATATTTTGAAATTATACATGTAGTCAAATGTTCTAATTCAGGTACAGGTTATCATGACTGTAGTAGAGACTAAATTGCAGTGAGTCACACAAGATCGAAGTTTTTCTCTTTATCATGTATCTGACCAAAGGTGGGCCATTGGTCCAGATTGAGAGGAGACCTTGCCCTACAAGATCACTTAGACTCCTAGGTTCTTTCTGTCCCACTGTTATGTCAGCCCCTAGAAAATGTTTTCATCTATATTGTCATAGGTGGGTTACAGTATCACATAATAAATTCTTGCCATGGAAAATAGGAAAGCAAATAATTTGCAGAGGAAGAAAATAGAACTTGGTGCTGTATATGTTACTTCTTTCATATCCCACTGACCAAAATTTAGTAATACAGCTAAATCTAATAGCAAGGTGAAGATGGAGAATGCAGATTCTAGCTGCGCCAGCTTGTGGTGAGTATCTATTATTAAAAGAAAGTAGGGGGCCTTAGATATGTGGTTATAATTAGTGGTCCAAAAGTGTTAGTTCAAGATTGAGCATAGGATATTTCGA